GAGGTTCACCAAAGCATCAAAGCCCTGACTCGCGTGGGAGTCTCAGTAAACAAGAAGCCCTGAAAGAGACACCGAAAAGCAGGACCCGTGACAAAGTTACAGCACTTCCAGTAGAAAGAGCCCCTATGTCACCAATCCCGGACTTAAGCCCAAACCCTGAAACCCAAACCCCAAGATCCCTGAAAACTTAAAACTTCAATCCGAGCCTTCCTCGTTAGGGTTTCAGGGTTTGCCAGTAGTCTCCATTGTAGTTTTTTTATTTGGATAACAAAAATCGCTATTATAGGATCCTAACCATGAAACTGGTTAACCAAAAAAAGGAACTACAATGGAGACTCTAGATAGGGTTTATAGGCACTGGCTATGTTCGCACGGGCGACTTGCCATCGGATGGCGAAGATGACGAGTCCGAGGTGTCATCCCCGGTCTGCTGCTGATGCTTGATATATGCAATATATAAATGCTATAAGCAAAACAACTACATGGGTGTATATACATATATGTATATTTATATTCATATTTATATTTATATTTATATTTATATTTAAATATATATTTATATTATATATATATATGTATATATATATATATATATATATATATGTATGTATGTATGTATGCATGTATGTATGTATTGGTTTCAGGTGTTGGATCACGGGCTTGATGCTTAGGATTTTTCGATTGCAGATTGGGGTTTTGGGTTTGCAGGCTTCGCGGTTTGAGGGCTTCGAGGTCGGGAGCTGAGGGTTCAGAGTCCACTATGGTGAAGTACCTTACCCGGACCCCCAAAGTATGTAGAATAATAGCCTTTTTGGCGAATTGGGCCATTGTTTTACCTACCTTGGGGGTTCAGGTATTGTGAAGTACCCTTAAGTTCTTGGAGCTAGACAGACTGCTAGTCTTAATGGACACCATTGCAGGAGAGGATACTCGCACCTTATATGCAAACGCAGGGTTTCAACGCAACAGGAGAAACAGTGCTCCATGCACGGACTTTTTGGTTGAAGACTGCAGTTTGTGCGACAAGTATCGAAGCTTGCTACGACAAGCATGTCTTGGGAAAGATTGCAAGTACATGTTTGCATGCAGCTGCAGTGAAGGCTGTGATTTTCTGTCATCCTCGAAACCTAGAGTGCCTCGATGGCGCCGAAACCCAGACTCTGTTTGACAGGCCACGCGGAACGTAACTTTTGCACCGGCTTGGGCCTGAGTTGTCAGCACGAAGATTTGTAGCATCTTGGGGGTTTCCAGAAACTGCGTCAGGCCTACATGTTGGTTGTTCAGAAATTGATCACCTAGAGGCGAAGACATCTGAAGCCAGCTGGCAAGAGACGAGTCCGGTGGCTGCATGTGGATGTAGATGAAGAGCACAGCACATGGCAAAGCACGTTGGAAGATATTTTTATTTCGCGGTCTCTGCTGTCTGGATTTCACTGCTCTTGTGCAAGCAGTGGCTGAGATGGGCACACCCGTCTGCAAGACACGTCTGCTGCAGACGGTGGTGGGGAGTTCGGACAACAATGGCGATCACGGCACCGAGCAGCGTCGACCGACATCGCCCGTAGACCTTCACACCGTGCACCTACTACAGGCTTGGGTTTAGGGTTTAGGGTGGGGGGGTCTTGTGCAAACAGTGACGAAGCTATGCCAGCTACACCAACTGGCGGGTGCAGAAGTCCATGCAAAGCTGTTTCATTCCGGCTGATGGCGGAACTCGCAAAGAGAATCAATAATAAGTATACAATTAAGACGCCGGTCTCGACGCGACAGACATCGAGAAAGACAGAATATTGACTGATTGCGGCAGACGCGAAGAGGGAGACGTGAACATCTGTTAGTCTGTATATACTGGTAGACAGGTCAATGAACACAGCCTTTTGCATACCACTCACTTACAAGCCGCATCGATGCAGGGAACATGCCCCCCAAACCCCAAACTCGAAACCACGGAAAACCCAATGCCCAAAACTCTGCTACCTGCTAAGGGTGTCCAGGGAAGCTCTGAAACGCCATCGCCATCTGCACCGCGAAAAGGCCAATCCAGCGCAGTACCACGTAGGATCCTGCTGCCAAGCCCGATTAGGGTTTAGAGGCTTTTAGGGTTTAGAGTTTAGGAGTTTAGGGTGTTGGGGGTTCAGGGGCTGGCTGGCACGTCAGTCCGTGCTGAAAAATGGGTTCAGGGGTGCATTGTTTAGGGTTTATACAGTATTCTACTAGGTGAGGCTTGCAAAGCCCTCGTAGTGGCAGTTGGGCTTTGCTCCGGGTACACCAGCAAAGTTAGCTCTTGGCAAGCACTCGGGTCCATTCGGGCGTAGTGGTGCCTCGAAGCAGGCACTGGCTATGTTCGCACAGCTGATCTTCCGGATGATGACGATGATTCGGAGGCCTGTGTGACCCGAGCAGGTTCCGCAAAATGGATTGGGCAAGCCACGGTTCCGTCTTTCGTCTCTTTCTTGCCTGGGTACTTAGCTTTATTTTGGTTACGATCCTAGGAATAAATATAAATATAAATACATATATATATATATATATATATTGCTATATTACAGCAAAATGTGTGCTTTCCTGATGGCAACCTTGAGTTCCTGAACAAGTTGTGGTTCAGATCAAGCTCCTTGTTCCACAAGGTGTGAGTAGTCGAATACTTTCCACAAGAAAAACAAACAACACAATCAAACAATCCTGGTGACATCATTTGCTGGAGTGAAGTTTTCGGATCCTTACATGAAGACCTTGTTTGGCCTTGGTGTTGGTAAGCCTTCAGGTCCAGCGGGCGGTCAGCTTTGCCCCAGCAGTCAGCTCAGCTGTTGGGCCACAGCTTTTTTGGACTCTGTTTGGTTTGGATTGCCGCTTCTGTTGTTGAACCTAAAGAATCCTACCAGCTTGGACCCCTCAAAGGTAAGCCCGCCATGAACACATGTTAGTAATCGAGCAAGTAGCCTGTAGATGCCGGTGACCCATTGTTTCTGCTTGTTCGCATGTACCCAGCAGCACTTAGAAAACAGTCTGCATCTTCCCAGAAACCACCATCCCAAACAAGCTAAGAGAAGCCTAGAACCGTACCATCCTCAAGTGGTGACCGCCTTGAGCCCCACCCCTCGGGAAGCTTTCGGGTAGCATAACGCCCCAGGTAAACCCAAAGGCTAATGCCATCCGTCCCACTAGGAAGCAGGACCTGTAGAAGCTTCATTAATGATTAATGTATTTCAATTCCGTCGTCGGATTCTTCATAAGGACACCCTCAACATGCAAGTTTAAGAGACCTACGCTAACCCTAAACTTGAGGTCTAGTCCTGCAAACCCGAAGCTCGAAAAGCCCGCTTAGCTTTAGGTTTAGACCAGAAATGCAAGGATCCTTCAGCTTCTCGAAGTCGGAAGGCCAGCAATCTAAGTCCTATCAAGCCTCAAACGAAAATACCCAAAACCCGAAGTCCGTCTTGCCTAAGCCCTCCTAAACTATAGCCTTAATAATGACCTATACGAGTTTAGGGGGCTTTATTATAACTATAGTATAGTACACCCCCAAAAATCCTATAGCCTATTCTAATTTTTAAGGCACCTATATTAGTCCTTTCGGACAGCAAGGACAGCAACATGCCTGCAGAGACGGCCTCGCCCTCTGCACCGCGAAAAGGCAGGACCTCACGAGCCTCACTCTTGCTTATTTTGCGGTCCTTACAAAAAGGATGCTGCTATTTAGGCTACTATGTTAAGGTCGTCCTTATAATAAGGATGCTGCTATTTAGGCTACTATGTTAAGGTCGTCCTTATAATATGGATGCTGCTATTTAGGGTGCTATCTTAGGGTCCCCCGATTTTCGGAGACTCCCAAATCCGAAATCCCAAAGCCTGCCGGTTCTGGGGCTTTCGGTCTTAGAGGCTTCAGCCTTTCAACCTTAATCTAGAGGCCTTCATTTAATATTTTTTTTTTTTGGGGGGGGGGTCCTTATTACAAGTATAGTGTAATGGCCGCAAAACTTTCTTTTCAGTCTTAAGGCCCCTATAATTACATGAAAGTCCGAAAGCATTTCCAGGCCTACGCAGGGTTTAGGGCTTGCGGGTCTTCTGGTAGCGGGCTTCCAGCTTCGGCTAGCTCTTCAGTCCCAACGATGCCCAAGAACAGATCAAACTTCGGGTGCTTGAAACTTCCCACAGAAGAGGAGCCCTAAAGGTTACCCAAAACATGGTGACCTGCCTGATGAATAGTATACTGCCTAATATGCGGAAGGGAGTCGGTTTAGACCTTTTGCAGGGTCTAAACATATGTTTAGGACGGTGCACCCTTATGGGAGATTCCGAAAACAGGCGAGCCTAATAAAAAGTACATAAGTAGTAGGACTCCTGTTAGGACGCTTATTTCAAGGACCCCACAATAATGTACCCCTAATTTTCGGAAAAAACCTTATCCTCAACCCGAAACCCTCGTCTCATCCTTGTTCTTTGGCCAGCAGCTTTGGGTGGAATGGGGCTCTGAAAATGCAGAAACCACATTCCATATATTGCAGTAAATGACTTTGTTCCAGAATAGACTTTACCTCGAGACACCGTTCAACTTGTCCAGGCCCTTGTGAGAAACTTCGCCCCGAAACAATGCCTCTACTTATCCAGGCCTCTCTATTTATGAACGGACGCCATGCTGTTTGTCGCTACTTTCCCCACGGATCAGTTCATGGGGCCTCAGAACGCCTGTAGGGTTTAGGGTGTAGAGTTTGAGTTTGAGGGGCTGTAAAGCTGAGTGTTTGGAGGATGAGGTTTCCGGATTTGGGATTTTGAGTGTTTTGAGTTGTGTGCTTAACGGGTCGGACTCATGTAGGCTCTACACCAAGCAGTCTTAGGAGCCGCCAGGCTGTCATTACCTAGTACTTTGTAGGAACAGGCGTTACCTTTTAAGAAGAGCTGAAACTGCAACATCTCAAGGGTTTGATGCCGCAGATAAGATAAACATCGGCAATCGTGGCTCCCTGAGCCCCCACCGACACTTACGCAGCGCAGCCTACCAGGCACTGGCTATGTGAACGCCGCAGATCTGCCGGAGGACGACGACGAAGACGAAGACGAGGTGCTCAACGATTCGGCCCAACCCCACAATTAAGGAGGACAGTACAAGGGAATATAAGGGGGTTTCCGAACATTAGGGGCATCGTATTTTGGGGTCCTTACAGTAATGGATCCTACTAGTTAGGGTACCTTATTAGGGCCGGAAGCCCCCATAATAGCACCAAAGCCCTAAACCCGAAATCCGGCCCAAGCCCTTAAGTAAGATGATGCACCCCAAGACACCGAGGTTTCACTGGGATACTCAATGCCTCTCTAAACACGACAGATGTCCATAGACTGTGGCCGCAAACCAAACATACCTAGTAGTCGAGTAGGTAACCTTTAACCTTTCCTTTTTTGGGTAGTATAATCCCTATATAACCAAAAAGGTTGTATAACCTTCAGTTCCCCATGATACCCGACAAGTAGGACTCCCAGACCCTAAACCCTATGGGACCATTACATATGCTGGCGACTGTGCTCCTCGACATTGTGCATGACAACTCACAGGGTCGTGGAGGGGGCTGGTTGTCTGGCCTATACTGCATGAATGCAAGGAGAATGAAATACAGGCTCTTGAATTTGTGGTGAGAACATGCGGCAAACTGCTGCCCGAGCAATGCATGCCTTTGCTATTAGCGCCGGACCTGGCAGCTCTGGCAAATACAACCTATGCTGGAAAGTACACAGTACTCTGCCGTGAAGTGTTTGGATATGATTGAGTGTGATGTTCTGCGTTACATTCAATCATGTCTCAATACTCCAGTGAGTCTAACTCTGTCAACTGAGGGGTGCATGTTAGAATTCGTTCGGGGCTAAAAACCACATCATTATACTATGCCTTAATTATAATCGAGTCTTTAGACTATACCATGGGTAAAGATCTACTCCTCCTAGCAAACTGGGGTCGTTTGGTCAGCAGTGAAAATCATGTAGGTCACCCCACGTACTCCACAGTTTCACTTTTGTCTGTACTCGAATTCGGTGCCTGTAAAGTCGGTAATACGCTGACTTTGGGATCATGAAGTACCTGATCCCCAACACAGATCGTAGTGCCTGAGTCATCTCGGCTCCTGCCTCTCGCAATTCTTATTGTAGGGTGTTAGTCCCCTATAACCCGACCCTGAGCGATCTGTCTGCTCACATCACCTTGGAATCTGGTGTTCTGGGTGTTGCGACAACGAGAGATTCCAAGGAGAGGTTTCGCGGATCGGTACGGTTACTTTAAGTGTTGATATACTTTGTTGCTGCGATGTAGTGACGAAGCCTCTTAGTGTCGTTTCACTTTGCAGACTCGAACTCATATGCCTCGCCTGGTTTGTCCGAGTGTGAGCGCCGAAACCCTACATCTGACCTCACATCGTCAGACTCCGAACCACATGCCTCGCCTGGATTGTCCGAGTGTGAGCGCCGAAACCCTAAACCCCCCGGGCATATCTTCTCCAAGGGTATTTGTGGAGTCTCCGAAAATCAAGGGTACCGTACTTTAGGGTCCTTATAATAAGGATCCTATTATTTCGGGTGCTATATTAGGGTCCCCTATTTTCGGAAACTCCCATTTGTGGAGTCTCTGGGTAGACCAGGTCGTGGTTTTGTCGTCTTGGGGTCATTTTACAGGGCTTCGGTGCTTGGCAAGCAATACCTGGACCCTAAGGAACCTACCTTTTTAGGGTTCCCTAATATGATTTCTTTATATAAGTCCTTAAAAAGGAAGGTTACTTGGGGTTAAGGTATAGGATTAGTCATGAAAAAGGGGCTTTACACGGACATCACAGGGCTTTATACTTGCCTAGTACCACAGGCCGACAAGCCTAAGAAGCTGTTTAGGGACATTGAGTAGTCTCGCTCGGTGTTGATCTGTTCGCTGAAGGCTTTACAAAGTTTCAGGTGTGGTTTCAGACTCCATAGTTCTTCGAAGAGTTCGGAACCAGTGCTTCCAATTTGTTGTTTCAACAAGTAGTGGACCCTAACATGACGTAGATGTGGGGTCCTGAGATAGTCAGGTCCTGAAGTTACCGACCCCCCCCAAACGGGACTGCTGCTTTGTGACAGTAGGGTTTAGGCTTGAACTCTAAGGCTGCAGGAATTCAAGGTACACGGTGCCGGCAGCTTTCCAGGATGTCGATGGGTTTGTATGGGTCCCAAGCCCCCCGCCCGAAGTAGACACGTTTAACTTGAAGGCCCTAGATACTTTTTGACCGTGGGGGTGCAGAAGAGTGGTGACGCCTAGCCTTCTTGCGGGACAGGGGTTTCTGAGAATTAGAGCTGGCCGTTTGGCGGTCCCTACATTGAGCACATTGAGCATCGTACTGCTAACGGCCAAAGGTTTTTTCAACTGGGTTCCTCCATCCACCCTAAACCCTAAACCCATGTGGGTTGTTTTGGTTTGGTGTGCTCTAAGTCCTGCACTGAACATACTAGACGCGAGCCCAAAACCTCCCAAAACCCTAACATGCAGGAGGGGCAGGTTTTTTAGTGATTCCTTTATCAAGACTATAGTTTCTTGAGCCTGAGGGTTTTGGGTTTCAGGCCTCCGGGAACTATCCGTTGGGTTTCACCTTCATCGCCGAAACTCGAAAAAGCTAAGCCCAAAAGCCCAACCTCTAAACCCCAAATCTCGGATTCCGCTTCTTGCGGGTTTGAGGTGGCCTTGCCACTAACTGTTCAGGCCCAACGGAACGTCAGCTTCGCACCAGCGCCGGACTTAAAAGTTTTGCCTACGCACTTGGTAGGTCTAGATCTCGTTGCTGAAAGATTGAAGTTGCGGGGGGAGTGAGGGAGGTAGAGAGATAGGAGGAGAGAGACAGAGACAGAGAGAGAGAGAGAAAGATAGGACTGCAACTCAGGTACGTTACATAAGGTTCTAGAATGGCGTTATGGCATGACGACGATGGAGATCTCTATCAGACTACCACGGGACGATGTCTTGTTTCTGTTTACAAGTGGTATTGGCAGTAGTTCATTTACAGACCCAAGCAGCTGTATGTATATATAAATATAATTATTATATAAATAGTATATATATATATATATAGATAGATAGATATGAGGCCCTTGCACTAACAACCTGTAACAAGACACCTTATAGAAACCATTACAGAACCCTTGAAGGTATCCCCAAAGGATGAAAAAGCCCTACCACACAAATACTGCCAGTAGCTCCTTCAACCCTCAAGCTATATTTTTCTAAACTTTGACACACACGCACACATATATACATATATATATATATACTCATATATATATATATATATATATATATATATATATATTCGATGCTGGAGGTTGTAATACGGGTCCACAACAAAACGTAGGTCATCATAGTCTGAGGTAAACCCGAAACCCTAAATCCGTATAAGCACAAGGGAGAATCCAGTCCTTCAGTGTATCACACCCAAGAACCTCGCCTGTGGCTGAGTCCGAGTTGTGAGAGCGTAAATCCGTATAAGCCCTAAAATCTCACACTATTATATATATATATATATATATATAAAGCCTCAAAAACCCCATCGACGGTAGCCCACATGGCTGAGGACGTGGCTGCTCGTGAGGCGCACCAGGCCTCGGCGCGGAAAGGCCGGGTGTTTTTCCGCAGGTTTTTGGGGGCCTTGCGGTTTTCTTTTTCAGGGCTCCTTAAAAGGCCCTAAAATAAAACCCTATAAACTTTATAGGCATTAAAAACCACCCAGAAAAGCCTTCGGATAGATTCCTCGAAGGAGCACTGAAAGGAATCTCCCCGGCCCTGAAACGCGAAACTCCAGGCCCCCTCAACCCCTCCCCCCCTGGGGTTTTAGGCTTGTGTTGGGGGTTAGGGTATCAGGTGTGGCGTAGGCTTGGGGTCTAGGGTTTCGGGATTAAGGTTAAGGTTTTCAGCTGAGGGATGAGGGTTTCGGGAGAAGGGCGATCAGGGCTCAACGCTTTTTCCGCCCGAAGCCCTGAGCCCTACCCTTTGCCGTTCAGATCAGAAAGGCTCTGGCGGTTCCGAGGCGCCAGTTAAAGCCATTCTGTCTTCGACACGACTGTCATGACAGATACTCCCGAATTCCGAAACTCCAGATCTTGAATCCCCTTGACGCTAAAATCTAATGCATGCTGAGTTGGCTAGACCTGTGGCAGCACAGGCACAGGTTTTGTCAAGACGTCCGACATCCCATCAGATGACGACGAAGATGAGGAGGAGGTGCATTCCGTTGCAGGTTCAGCACGGCAGCTTGCCAGTCCTTTTGTTTGAAAAGGTTTGGATGCTCTGCCCCTAAACCCTAAACCCCGGAAGCGCTAGCCTAGCTACCCTAAGTCCCTCAACGCACCACGCCGATTTCCTTGATCATTCCTAAGTCGGAAGTTCTAAACTCGGACGTCGGAGCCTGAAACCCTAATGGGCCAAATGCTGAACCCAAGCCAAGATATATATATATATATATATATATATGTATATATATGTGGCATGGACCTTTAGGGTCTATTTGGCAATCCTGCTGGGCTTTGTACTTAAACTGCAACAACACCACGGCGACAAGGACGACGACGACTCGGTTTAGCACGACGACGACTGGGTTCAGCACGGCGACGACAAGGTCTGGCACGACGGTTACATCGGGAGGCCGAAGCGTGTACAGTGTAAAGGTCTCGACAGGAGTTTACGGGTCTAGGGTCTTAGCTCCTAACTATGGTTTACCGGGGTCAGTATACTATGGAAGATCTAAGGTTTGGAGTTTATGAGGATTTAGATGGTTTTACGCTCTCACAACTCGGGCATGCCAGGCGACGTTCTCCGTGCTGGTTTTAGGGTCTATCACAATGTCCTCCCGTCCCTCTCGCGCCGGGAACCATCAAGAATCTGTCTTGTGTATCACTCGTCCTGTTTCTTTCTCTCACCGTTCCTCTTCCTGCCTATCCACTCTGCCGTTTGTCAAGAAGACACAGAAATTGAAGTCATGACAGAGGAATAGGCATGAAGATGGACGAAGTGAACTCTTCATTCTCTCGTCTCTCCCTTCTCTCCTTCCTTTGATTGATCCTTTTTCTGTTTCTTTTCTTGTCGCCTTCTGCTTTCAATGACAGGGGTAACACGAGGGAGGTCTCGCTTCCGCCTCTCTCTCTCTCTCTTTTTCTCGCTCTGTCTTCCTCTCTGCCGTGTCTCGCTCTCTCATCTCTTCTGTCCCCTCTTTCCTTGCTCCGTTGCTGGAAGGAATCGAAAACAGAAGCGAAGACATAAGATGGAGGAAGATGGTTGGGAGAAGGAAGGTGGATTCCTCCCTCACTCGGCTCTTTGATTTTTTGGCCCTTGCCTTCTTTTCTCTGCTCCTATCCTTCTTCACAATTAGAAGGAGAAGCGACAAGAACGGAGAGCTCAGGGAGAGCAAGTGATACTGTTCCTCATAATCTCCTCCTTCCTCGTGTTCATTGCGTTGTCCATCTCCCCCTCGCTCTCTCTCTCTCTCTCTCTTTCTCTCTCTCTCTCTCTCTCTGCTCTCTCTCTCTCTCTCTCCATCCTTTCCTCTCTACTTCTGCACATTTACTTTTCCACTTCTCTCGCCTGCTACATTATGCTTGCTTTGATACTTATCTTTAACTTTCTCTCACTCTCTTTGTCCCATCGCTTGCCCTGTTCCTTCTCCTCCTCCCTTCCCTGCCTCCCGTCCTTCTCCCCTTATCACTCAGAAGGAAGAAGGAAGACTCACAAGGAGAAGGGAGTAAGAAAACAGACAAAACAAACGGAGAGAGAATCCGAGAAAGGAGCCATAAGGGACGAAATACAGAAACAAAGAGAGAAACTAAGGGGGAAAGATAATCAAAAAGAGAGACAGAAAGAGGAGGCGATGCATAAAGCAGCCGACAGTGCCTTGACCTCCACGTCTATTCATTCTTTGTTCTTGTCCTATCACACTGTCTCATTGGTGATAAACCAGGAAGAGCTTGTGGAGGGAGACGAGGAAGAAGTGTTCTCCTCTTCACTCACCTTGTGCCCTTCCTCTCCCACCGCTCGCCCGCTCTCCTTTCTTTGATTTTCTTGTCTGGCGGAAAAGTGGGAACCAGGAAGGAAAGTGGAGAAGGGAAAAGACGAGATTGAGAAATGACAGAAAGAAGAGAGATACAGAGAGAGCGAGGGAGAGCTTCAAGCCCAGCAGAGGAAGAAGAGAGAGGAAGATAAGGGAAGGGGCAAGGGGTGGCCAGAAGAAGCGTAAGCCAAAGCTACGTATTGAAAGGGCGGAAGCCCCTTTCTCCTCTTCTTCCTCTTTGCTCTCTTATTTTTCTCTTAGCGCAGGGCATGCGTGGAGCTAGGAAAGGGAAGGGGTCAAAGCGGATGAGAGAAAGTAACGGAGAGAGCTGTTCTTCGTCCCTTTCACCTCCTCCTCTCATTCTTCTGATGCTTGCTCATGTCAGAAGGGTTTGGAAAGGAGTGAAGGCTAGGGCATGGACTGAAGCGAGGCAATAGGTGAAAGTGGATAAGAGAAAGTCATAGACAGAGAGTGCGGGAAGTCGAGTGCGAAAGAAAGAGAAACGAGGAAGACTAGGAAGAAGGACACAGAAGAGGAAGCCAGAGAGGAGGCTTGTAGGCGCCTTCAGACACTTCCACAACTTTCTGGAAGCCACCAACTTCCTCCCTAAGGGGGCCTCCCGAGGACATGAACACCAAACCGAGTATAAAGAAAGCAGGGGGATGTAGAGAAGCAGAGTGTGGTAAGAAGGAGCAAGGAGAATCAGTTCGCGTCTCCTCCTCTTTTCCTTTTTGAATGACCAGAGGAAAGAAAAGGATAAGGCTCTGCGAAGACATAAGGAAAGAAGAGCAGACAACAGAAAGGAAGCGGTAAGATGCGGGAAGACGGTTCGGAGAAGAAAGGAGAATTCCTCCTTCGCTCGCCTCTCTTACTTCCTTGCCCTTTGCCTTCTTCCTCTTCTCTTACCCTATTCATCTTCATAAGGAAGGAGAAATGAAAGAAACGGAGAGTTCAGGGCATGCAAAGGGCACTCTTCTCATCACCTCATCCATCCTCCTTTTCATTGTTCTCTCCAGTTCCCTCTTTCTCCCTCCCTCCCTTCCCGTCTACTTCTGCACATTCCCTTTTCCGCTTCTCTCCGCCTATTATGTTCGCTTGGAAAGAATCGCTTGCCCCCTATTCCTTCTCCTCCTGCCTTTCCTGCCTCTCGTCGAAGAAGGACAATTCACAAGGAAGAAGACAAGGGAGTAAGAGAAAGACAACAGAAGCTGAGAGACAATCCGAGAAGGGCAGAAGAAGAACGAGAGCCATAAGGAAACAAACACAGAAACAAAGAGAGAAAGTAAGAGAGAAAGACCAGCAAAAAACAGAGGCAGAGAGTGAGAGAGAGGAGGGGAGGGGAAGCGATGCAGAAAGCAGTCGAAAGTGCCTTGCTTGTCCTATCTCACCGTCCCATTGGTAAAAAACCAGGAAGAGGTTGTGGAGGAAGACAAGGAAGAAGTGTTCTCGTCTTCACTCACCTTGTGCCCTTCTTCTCCCACCGCTCGGCCGCTCGACAGAAAGAAGAGAGTTGCGGAGAGGGCGAGAGAGAGCTTCAAGCCCAGCAGAGGAAGAAGAGAGAGGAAGATACGAGAAGTGTGGAGGAAGTGGCCAAAAGAAATGCTACGTAATGAAAGAGGGGAAACCAGTTTCTCCTCTGCTCTTCCTCTTTTCTCTCTTATTCTTCTCTTCTCGCAGGGCATGCATGGAGCCAGGAAAGGGAAGGGGTCAAAGCAGATGAGAGAAAGTAATGGAGAGAGCTGTTCTTCGTCCGTCTGACCTCCTCCTCTCATTTTACTCATATCAGAAGGGTCTGGAAAGGAGTGAAAGGTAGGGCATGGACTGAAGCGAGGGAATAGGTGAAAGTGGATAAGAAACAATGTTAGACAGCTTGCCGAAGGCGGCCAGCTCGCAGCTTGCCTGCGGCCTGGCCTGCTGAGCCTGGTATTGAAGGTGGGCAGGGGCCTGCTGACATCCGCGGCCAGCACGCCAGGCTTGCTTTGAGGCAGGGCCAGCTGGGGAGCCTGGCCGGGCTGAGTGGGTTGGGTGAGTGAGTGGGGAGAGGGTGGAGAGGAACAGGGAGAAGAGGGTGGGTGGAGAGAGGAGGTAGAGGGAGCGAGGGGTGGGAAGAGGGAGGTAAAGGCAGGTAGGGGCAGGAGGGAAAGGGGAGCAGAGTGAGATGGCAATCAAGAAGGGTTACGGGTGAATGAAGAAGCGCGGATGAGGGGAGGGCGGGTGGACAAAGGGAGGGGAAGAGGAGGGAGTGGGGAGATGGGTGGAGAGGTAGAGGGAGTGGAGGGTGGGTGCGTTCTTTGGATTGTATAGTCTAAGGGTTTTCTACCAAGGGTTCCATATCAGGGATCTGTACAGAGGATCTATAGATTTCTATAAGGAGTATATAAAGACTGTGTATGAGGGCTCCATATAATCGATCTTTCAAAGATTTTTTTTATAAAGGACTCCATTTGTGGGAAACATAAGCGGTTCCTACAAATTCTTTATCTCGAGGATCTGTAAGGTTTACATATCTATGAAGCTTTTCTATATGGGCTCTATAGACCCCATAAGACAAATTAAAAAGTGATGAATGTGATAAGAAGATGATAAGAAGATGAGTGGATGGGAGAAAAAGTGATGGGAGGTGAGGAGACATGAGATGGGAAGGGAAGGAATGAGTTAGGAGTGGGGGAGGTAGGAGGCAAGTGAGAGGGACAGGGTGGATCATTTACAAACGCCTTTAGAGGGACGCTCCTTGCGATGTGTGATTTTTGGCTCTGAGTTCTTACAAAGCCTGAGAGGGGCACACCCCTTGCGATTTGTGATTTTTGAACTTACTTGTCATGAAAACCTTTTGGGGACACCCCTTAAGATCTGTGGTTTTGGGATCTGAGTTTTCACAAAACCTTAGGGGGATATTTAAGAAGGAGAGAAGGGAGGGTGGGGGAGGGTGGAGATTCCAGGAGAGAGAAAGGGGAAGAGGAGAGGTAGAGGGAGTGGAGGTGGGGGAGAGTGAGGAAGGTGAGGGGAGGGGGTAGTGGGAGGGATAGGGAGAGGGAGGGAGGGGTATGGGAGGAGGACGAGGGATGAGGAGGAGGAAGATAGTGAAGATGATGAGGTGGATGATAAAGAGAGAGGTGGGGTGGAGTGAGGTGTGTGGTGGGATGGGACGGGGTGGGTGGGCACGGCTGCCTGCTTCCGCACG